CATATTTTGACCTGCTTGGACAGGTGACTTATGGCACGTCCGATGGTGCCGACTGGGACAAAGGTGTCATCATGCTGGACTTTCCTTCTTACAAGCCAAGCATCGGTGATGGACTTCGATATAACGAGCCATTTTGTGCGTTGGGTGATCACATGGACATGAGATTTCTGAGGCTAACTATGGATACAGATCACAAACTGGCAGAAACGCTGATTGACGAATTTCCATGTCGCCCACACTGGACCAAGAACACACGAGAGGTATTTGAACGTGCGGCCAAGAATATTGACCCTGATGTAAGATTATCATTACCTTTGTTGAGGAAGATTCTAATGTTTTCCACGCAGCATATCTCTCGATTCAAGGCAGTCAGACAGAAGTTTGACCCAGATGGCATCTTTCGAAGCGTCGTGGGTGAAGCCATTGGTGTGTACTGATCATTGAATGGCTTGTCTATGAATTGCTCCCTTTATTTCTCTCCAATTTTGTTGACCCCATCAGCCACTCTCGATTAATTTCGGTTGGTTATGACGGGCCGTTTCTGCCATTCTGACTAGCTTAGGTACATTGTAGATACTCTCACTTGTAACTGCATCACACGATGGTAGTTGATCAATGAGAGTCTATGGAGGTATCTTAGGGTCTGGTTCGGTGTGTAGCATTATGTACCCTCATTCACATATATGAAAACATCTCTGAATCAAAGTCTGCTATTAATATCTACTGAAAAGAGAGGGGTCAAGAGTTGAGGCCTCCCTCGACTGGACCCTGCATGACTCTGCCATGTCCCACTTAAAACGTCATCCGTGTCTTCACCGCCTTGCAACCAATTTATATTCCTTATGACGATCGCCCAAGAATTGGGTAACTTGAAACCAAACATATTTCTCTGCTGTTTCATTCCGAATTCCGAATCAAACAATCCCAAAACAACAGAAACTCAGCCAACATGTCAGCCCCAGAGACTCAACCCACCGCTGAAGGCGATGAGTACGAAAAGACCCTTCTGCAGCTACGATGCTTCGACACAATGTTCCTCGTCGATGATTCCGAGGCCATGCAGCCTTACTGGCCCGAAATCAAGACCCTGATAGAGCGCATCGCACCCATCTGCGCCAAACACGACCCTGATGGAGTTGATCTGTACTTTGTCAACCACCGACCTGGTGGTGTATTGGCCAAGCTACCTGGAGTTCAGTCAATCCGAAAGTCCGGTTACACTCACATCGGTGGCTTTGCCGGAAGCATGCTTTTGACCAGCAAGGGAAAGCAAGTCGGCGCCATCTTTGACAAGGTCAAGCCAGCTGGAAAGTGCAACATGGGTGCCAGACTTGGCGGCTTACTCAAGTGGTACTGCGACAAGTTCACAGCCGGAGAGGAAAAGGCTGCTCTCAACATCATTGTGCTCACAGCCGGCGCATTCGACGACGATATCAAGACTCCCCTGATCCAAGCCGCCCGAACTCTCGACGAGGCCAAGGCACCCATCCACCAAGCTGGTGTTCAGCTGTTCCGCCTAGGTGGTCCGGATCTGGTGCGACAAAAGACCCTGCAGCATCTCGACGACGAACTGCACAAGGAGGCTGGAACCCGAGACATTGTCGACACAGTGACTTGGAGTGGTCACGGTACATCCATGTCAGATGATGAGCTGCTCAAGATTGTGCTCGGCGCAGTGATCAAGAAGATTGATATTCGTGCTTCTGAGTTGCACTTGGATGAGGCAGCTACGACAACACGTGCTGACCGAGAGTATGATGAGGGAAATGTAATCTAGTTGGACTTTTCTAATACCATCGCCCGGGCTATGGGTAGATTGAACAGATATACTGTGACTAATAATGTCAAATTAATTGGATGTTGTATACCCACAATTTTGAGTCACTCCGAAGATGAGATTTGCATCGTGCTTGAACATTAAGAATGAGGGATAATAATCCAGAGAAGCATAGTCTCTCCATTAAGCTTATAATACTATATCTCAGGGCCAATACTATGTTTCTGGTAACGTTACCTACGTGGTCTTGAATCCTTTGAGAGCGAAATTGTGGCACCGACATTGGGCAAATTTTTAAAGCAGAATTTATTACACCAACCACAACGATGCTTCCAGGCATGAGTTCTCCAGGTCCGAGAAGTCTCGTATAGGCTGAGATATAGAGGAGTAGCGGCACTTTGTCGACAGGCAACTAAGTTCTAAGTGGACTGTGCCGCATGCCAGCGTAGCTGTCTCCTCAAAGTTTGCTGTCTGTGGATCAATCTCACGCTGCGGTCTAGGATAGCAGTGAGGGAAAGAGTTTGCAATACTGTGGTGAATAACTGTTAAACAGGTTCTATCTACTAGTATTTACAGTGTCGAATGTATAGTTGGTATCACAAAACCAACATAAACCTATATCATCCTCCTCATCGTCACTGTACGTCCCTTGCCCAAGACGACACTCAATTTTTCAACAACCCTGTACTCTAGCCCTACAGAGGGTGGCTTAGAGGCTAATAGCGGATCCCCCACATAAGAGCTAGTAAGATTCTGAAAGGGGAAAACACCGCGAAATATGACTCCACGATGGTTCGTCTTCGGGGTAACGTCCCAATCTCTTGAATAGGCAATCACCGGCATTATCAAAAGAACCACTATGTGACATGACTATTATTTCTATTGGAAGAATTTTACAAACCAAGAAAGTCCAAGAAAGGCACAGCCGTGGTCGCCTAATCCGCCTTACAAGGCAAGTTCACGATGGTTGCCAAGACGGCATCAGATTGTGTATAAATATCTCTGAAGCCCCAGGACAAAATCAATTTTCTCAGCAGCTCATAGCCATTCAAGACAACAAGAAACCTCATCAATATCTAATTTTAAGTATCCCAATTCTCGTCACAATGAAGTTTTCTACCATCACATCACTCTTCCTCGCCAATGCTGGCCTTTCCCTCGCCGCTCCCACCAAGACCTTGGCCCAGGCTACAGCTATTGAGGTTAAAACTGGTGACAACGGCATCGAAACTCCCCTTCCCATCCAGCCCGGCATGGTAGACAACTGCGACCGTTTCCACTTCGTCGCAAAGAACACTGGCTGCCTTCAAATCGCCAACATGTACGGCATCACCTTTGAGCAATTCAAGGAGTGGAACCCTACCGTCGGCGATGATTGCCGCACTCTCTGGGCCGACGCCAACGTTTGTGTCCGCACTATCGGATACAAGTACCCCGTCTCAGTTGCTTGCTACGGTAGCGAAGACATTCTTCCCTGGGGCTCAAACAAGGCTGCCGCTCTCACTGCTGCTCGTGACTGGTGCTACAACGGAGGCGGTGGTGGTATCTACGAGATCTACGAGACCAAGACTGGATGTGTCAACGCACCTTCGGGAGCGGGCAAGTTTGTCTTTGAGGTCAAGACCACCCACGGAACCAGGATCGGTCTTACTGGTGGACGATGCCAGACATTCCTCAACCTTGGTATCAATGGATGCAAGGACGGAGCTCAAACCAACACAGAGGGTTGGACCATGGAGTAAGTCATGCTTATCTTGATATCTTATGAGAGACAAACGCTAATAATTTTGCTAGGACTACTTTTGAGACTGGAAAGTGCAAGGCCTAAGTTCCTCTGTCAACATGACAGATGATGGCGGAAGCTTCTCATAGTGAATGGATGAGCCTTCACTTACTATGGATAAGATTGGATTGGGGTCAGCTACCTTGGATAAAAGTTAGATAGAAGTCTGACTAGCAGATGCCAAGGTTTAATATTAGATTCAGGTATATAATTATGCACAGTTGATCTCCTGAAAAACTTGGTTTTTATACTTCATTGGTGTTCGGTATACAACTTGAAGGCTAATACTGAATTTTTCGTCGCCCTCAACAAAGAGCCATCCAAAGCAGGGCACAAAGAAGCAACCTTATTCTCACACAATACACAAGCAGCCCACGTTTATTACTTCATGAATATAGTTTCTACATAGACAGCCTTGGCCATCCACATCCACTTTTGCTGTGCTAGCCAGAAACACTAAGCACAGCAACAGCAAACCCTGGCTAAAGCCACATCAATAAACAGATGTCTGTGTTTTTCAGTAACCAAAAGAGACGAAGCCATGGCTCGTAACTCCTTATACTGCGATTCCTCTCCAGCCACAACTTCCAGTTCCTGGATTGGAACACACTTTGTCGCTCTGATCAATATCTCGGGGTACTTGATATGCCTTCTCAGTGACCTTTTCGATTTGACAATGCCCGTCATCTTCTCATCTATTTCCAGAACAGTGAGATAGACATGCGAGATAATAGGTCGAAGTAATAGGATGGATGATAAGTTTTCGTAGTCCTGCTCGTTATTTTGTACAGCGACGGATACTCGAGAAAAGTCACACCAAGGAGCGAACCATTCTTCGCAGGGACTATTGATATCAATGTATAATATATCCGTATGTGGATTGAAGAATCCAAGATGTCCGACCCCAGGACACTGACAAGGGGCGAATGTTTTGAACACCTCCAACGCTACATCTCTAGATTCTTTGCAGATGCTGAGTGCGATAGGTGGTCGCGGTGATATGGTGTGAGTCTCGGCAGCGGTACTACTCCCGCAACAGCGTCTGTAGACTGCTTTGTGAATGCGAGGCCCCGGGAGAGTGAGGCTCCAGATAAGGCGACGTAGCTCCGGAGGGAGTTTAGGCAATGGGAAGGCCTGGGCTTGTGTTGCTTCTTGGGGGTGTTGCTGGTTGGCAGTAGATGCCATAGCTAAACCAGGGAGATTGTTGTCGCAGGAAACAGGTCCAAGTATGAGCGTGGGGTGAACATTGGACAAAGCGTAGATAATAGTGCTATATAATCACGTGCTGCTTAGTGCTTACTTCGATGTCAGTCCATCATAGGCCCTGTCCTGTGTCTTTGGTCTCGCGTGCAATGTCACAGTTCAGCGGTTGCCGATTTCAGCATCTTCCTGGATATGTACTCTTGTTAACATGACGTCGCGAGATATTTATGGACACAAGGTTGCGTGGCCTAATGGAAGGGCGCCTGAGAGTGGACAGAAGATTCCGGGCTCGACTCCCGGCACAGCCGTGTATATTTTTTGGCTATGGGAAGATGTGAGCATACTACAGAAAGAACAATTTGTTCGAGCATTATTTCTGGTTGGGATTTTCTATCTTCTTCCTTTTTATGCTGATGAAATTCGTGTTTATATTCTGGAAGTGTTTGATAACTTCTGAAGGAACTGGATGACTGTCTAGCAAGAAGAGAAACAAGCAGTGTCTGTTATGTCTTTGACACGTTTTCGCCTATGGTCTACTATAGTTTGTTGAACTGTACCAATCTAAGGTCAAGACATGTAGTGTTTGATGAAGATGGTCGAACGCAGAATAGGCAGCCCATTATCCAATGTGGAACTGATGCCTAGCTAGCACTTGGAAGCCCGACTTTGTTCCTTTCGAACCTTGAACAAATAATAGTAAAGTGTATTAGCTACTGACCCAAGTTGAGATTTAACCCCAGCTGAATAGATTTGTATAGAAAAGGGTATGTTGACTGGCCAATGAAAACTTTGTAGAAAAGGTAAAACTTACATGATGAATCAGATGTCTCGACATGAATGTAATACTGATTAAACTCCACGACAACAGAAAAGTCAAAATAAAGAAAATTCTTTTGACTTGTATTTATAGCAGGTGTTCCCCCTTCTCTATCCTCTTTCCTCTTTCCTCCAACCACAACAAGTTGTTCAGCCATTATATCGGATACAGCCAACCACAACATCCCAACACAAAATTCAACTACGACAACTACTCTTTGAGATTCACACCGGTAAGTGTTATAATTATAAGCCGTATACCAAAGCTGAAACACATGTCCAGGCAATATGAGTGATTGGACTTCAGAAGAGTATTGGATATCAGGATCATACCATGATCCTGAATCAAACGACCGCTCGAATTCAGAACCAGACCATCCGACTTCAGAACCAGATACCCGAGCTTTAAAGACTAAGGGTTGGGTTCCACGAAGCAACCAATGCCATTCAGAACTAGATAATCATGCTGCAGAGACTGGCTCTTGGGCTTCATTGGGCGACACTCGGGATTCAGAACCAGACAACCGGGCTTCAGAGACTGTCCGCCGGGTTCCAACACCCGACCGCTGGGGTTCAGAACCAGTTAATCTCGTTGCAGGGGCTCAATGGGGCGACACTCGGGCTGACATTTGGGTTCCGTACAAGTACCACCGGGATTCAGAATTCGACCGTTGCCCTTCAGAACCCGACTCGCCTCCAAGACTTAACCATTGGTTTGCCAAACCAGCCATCCGGGGACATACACGTATGGGAAGGCCATCGACCTACGTCTTCGATTCGTATGGCGATACTTGCATCACTCTCTATACATCCAAAGATCGAGCCTTCTATTTCTCAGGGGACACGGTATCAAACGTACCATCTGACGGGGTATCCCGTAGCGAGTTCAGCGTGTCAAGTGATTGGGGAAAAGTCGCACACGAAGACTGCGATGCGGCATCGGTACACAGCTCAGACAGCCGACACGAGTACCACGAGTATGGAGAGATACCTGGATCTAGCCCTGGACAAGTCGAGATCCGAGTCCTAGTCTCAGGAAAGCACCTGGAATTAGGTTCAGATTACTTTACGGAGCTGTTTTCTTCTCCTGGAGCAGAGCAGCTCATCGGTGATTCCGGATTTTATGAGCTCCAAGCAAGGGGCTGGGATCCCGTGGCACATCAAACCGTACTGGCCATTCTTCACGGCTATCACAAAGATGTTCCAAAGTCACCCAGCATCGAACTGCTTGCAGAATTGACCATGGTAGTGAACCACTACGGATGCCATGAGAGTGTGGAGCCACACGCCAAGGTTTGGGTGGAACATCTGCGGTCCAACTTACCTACAGAGTACGGAAGCGACTGTATTCTCTCCATCGCGATATCCTGGGTTTTCGATGACCAAGACATCTTTCAAAAAACGACGGAACTAGCATTGACGCACAGTCATGGGTTAATCAAGGTCGAAGATGATCGTCTTCCTCTTCCAGACGGTCTTTTGGGTAAGTTTACTGAAACGACAATATCATAACTTTTGCTAATTTGGTATACATACGAGATCAATGCTTCACGCCAGTGCTATCTCGAGTTTATGGCTTCAGCCGCTCTCGACCTTTATCATTTTCTGAGAGAGGAACAGGGTGGTTGTAAGATATGTTCAACTATGATGCTTGGCACATTAACGAAGGAGATGTTCAAACTTGGATGGAAGAACCAAGACGATCGACTTTCACTTCAAGATTTGAGTATTGAAGAGTGTGTACAGATTATCGACGCTGTGCACGTGCCTAAGGTGCATAGTTACGACGACTGCAGACGTGGTTCTACCCTCTACGAAGCATTGCTCCCCGCGCTGATGAAATCGATTGAGCAGCTGCCTATCTTTTGTCTAGCGGGCAAGAAGCCCATGGATATTGAGCCCACAATTGACCCAGACCAAAACCCGTATGTGCATTACGATTGGTGGGACACTAAATCGAGGGGATGAGGTTTTTATTTCTTGTATTTGTGACGACATGGACTGTTGATGGTATCATCCTAGACGTCATATTGTCGATCTTTTGTACGCGCCTTGTGTTTCTAAAATTGACAAAACTCTAGTCTAGTGTTCTATTCTCAATCAAAAAATGTTTCTAAATCAAGCCTCATGATTATTCTCATCCTCGGTCTGAACTTGCTGCTCCGACAATCGCGGATTTCTCAACGCTAAAGCAAAAATAATCATGGGAATGCAGACACAAATTCCTGCAATGCAAAGTAAACGCTGAACAGAACTGTAGCTGCTGATAATTGCGTCTCGAATCTCTGTTCCTACTGGGTAATCTGGAATGATGGAGAAGGGGTTATTGTAGATGGCCTTTGCGAGTCCCTCGTCAGGCTGAAAAGCAAGGTTGTGCTTCAGGGACTTGTAGAGAGTTTGTGTCCATATGGCTCCGGAAAGACATGTACCAAATGCACTTCCGATGTTGTAGAATGACAAGTAAAGGCCTGTCAGAATAGCAACGTGTTCTCGTGATGCGGAGGCCTGGATGGATGCTTGGGTCGGATAAGCGAAGAATCCACCAGCAACGCCGAGAAGAATCTGCGCTGCGATAATTCCGTCTTTTGATGAGATAGATGCACCGCCAGGGTACATGATCAAAACTCCAAAAGCAGCCATAAAAAGCAGGGTTCCGCCAACAATGATAAACTTGAGTCGTCGAATCTTGAAGATGACAAGACCAGCCAATACTCCAGTGATGACGCCGAAGAATGAGAAGAAGGATAAAATGCGGGTTGCGTTCTCGATGGAAAAGTCAAATGCCACGATGAGGATCGTATATAAATAGTTTCCTTGTGTGCACCAAGCAAGGTTGAGCAAACTTCGTACAGCCAAGGCAGACCAGACGCCTCGGTCGCGGAGGAGATGGAATGGGATAAGAGGATGTTTCGCGCCTCGCTGCTCCCAAGTGATGAAGCAGATCATCAGGCAAAATCCTAGAACCAAAGGGAGAATTATGTACCAGCTACGCCAGTGACTGGCTGTTCCTCCCGCAACGGTCAAAGGTGCAAGGATGAGTGAGAATGCAGTGACAAGAAGAACGAGACCGATGACATCGAGTTGATGAAAAAGGTCTGCTCTTCCTTTTTTGGTCTTTAGAGAAAGAAGTGCAACTGCCTCACTCTCTTTGCCCTCAGCCTCCCACGTACGTCTTTCTAGGAAGTAAAGGCATGAGAGCAGAGGAAGTGAGGCGATGGGATAAATGATGGCCCACATGCCAAGTCCCCATCTCCAGCTTGTCGATCCCAGCACAGCAGAGGTGATGTTTCCGCTGATCCATGTATTGATCAAGAATGGGATTGCGGGCAAATAACTGAAGAAGACTCTTGCGCGCATCGATGAGAAATCGGCGATAAGGACTTCTAATAGCAAAACAATGCAAGTGTATCCCGTCTGGTATATAATACTTCCCGTGCAAAACACCTCGACGCTCTGTGCGGTTGACTCAATCGCGATACCGAGCGTGTATAGTACGGTAGAAATAGCGATGACTTCAAACCGTCCAAAGACATCTGCTATTTTTGCGGCGCTCGGTTGCACTGCGACTGCGATAACATTGCGCAAGACATTGATAGTCGATAAGTAAGAATGCAAATCGAAGCTGGATGTTGCATAAGATTGATAAGCGAGTCGCGTTTGACTCTCGAGGCCGTATGCATATCCGACGAGAAAGATGCCGATAAATAACCAAACGCGATGTGTCGTTGTAATGTTGCGAGACACGATTTCCATACGCGCCACGCCAGCGGATAGACGTTTTGGGTTTGCTGGTCGAGATGGAGTCGCATCCGAGTCTATATCTGGAAATGTACTTGGGCCAGGTGCCTCTAAAAGAGGCGCTGTTTCTGCTGACGCCATACTGTCTCTCTCATGTGAATATTAGTTACTCTAGAAAGACAGAAAGTGATAAAGATGAAGAGATGAAGAAATTTATGAAACACAACGACAGGGGTCATCTGATTTGATAATTCACGCATCGTCACAACTATCCCTGTCATGTGCTGAGATGGATGGAGATGGATGCCTGAAAGAGGATCTGATAATGTGACCTGACACCGACCTTGTGACATGTCAGACGTATGATGACAAAGCGGGAATCCGGAATCTGATAAGATTAAATGATCCAATGGCGGCGGATCTAACCGTTGACCAAGTGGACATCACGGCTTTCATCGGTAATAAAGCCGAGATTAAATCACATTTAACAAGACTCGCATTTGGTCGAGCATATAATTTGACTTTCATACTTGTAGATAAGTACCTAGTTAAAGAGCGTCCATTTCTCCTTCTTGGCCAAACACTCACAACTAACCAAGCCCTTGTAAACCAGAAAATACAAATACCCGACACGTATAATGCTAATCTAAAGATCATAAACACCGCTGGCTTCGCGACAACAGGTCCAACATGGATGGTCGTCGTCGCCCTATCCTTATTAGCTACCTCTAGTTTTGTTCCTCTTAAGGGATAT